TATATTTCAAAGTGCATGTCAGAACAAGTAACCATTCATTCATTCATCTACCCATTGTTTGCTCTTAATTCAACAAATGTGACAACATAGAGAAAGTAAGCCTGTTAGATCTCAGATACAATAGCTGTGCATTAGCTGATAAAACTGTGAAGCTGGGAACGTTTTCCTTCCATAACTCTTTCCCTAGGTATCTCCATTTTTTGACAGCCTTCCCCCTGGTGCTGATCCATGCTTCCTGGCTCAGTGGTGTCTTAGCTCTGCCTGAGCCCTCCAGTCCCTCAGAGCCCTTCAATTTGCCTAAAGAGGAGCAAATTCAGGTTGCCCAGTTTAAGCCTTCACAACATCCTTGTTACTCTGAAAGCACTAATTCTGGCCTTGCAACAAACAAGATGGGTAATTTCTCTCCATTTTAGCAATGAAGAAAATAAGGTTAAAAAAAAAAAAAAAAACTTGCCTAGCTCAGAGCCCACTATTTCTATGACATCTAATGAGGATCTTCTCTGTGTTAAAAACAAACAACCCAGTTAAGAAATGGGCGAAGGGTATGAACAGTCATTTTCAAAGGGGGAAATACCCATTTGTTTGCTCTTAATTCAACAAATGTGACAACATGCAGAAAGTAAGCCTGTTAGATCTCAGATACAATAGCTGTGCGTTAGCTGATAAAACTGTGAAGCTGGGGACGTTTCCCTTCCATAACTCTTTCCCTAGGTATCTCCATTTTTTGACAACCTTCCCCCTGGTGCTGATCCATGCTTCCTGGCTCAGTGGTGTCTCAGCTCTGCCTGAGCCCTCCAGTCCCTCAGAGCCCTTCTATTTGCCTAAAGAGAAGCAAATTCAACAAGTACAGCCGTCGAGGAAATGAAAATGAAAACCACAATGAGATATCATCCTGTCCAGTTTGAATGGCTATCTTGCAAAAATTAAAACATACCAAATGCTGATGAGAATGTAGAGAAAAACAAACCCTTATATATTGCTGGTGAGAATGTAGACTGTTGCAACAATCATTGAAGAAAAAATGGAGACTACTCAGAAAACTAAAAATATATCTATCATATTACCCAGCAATTCCACTTGGAATATATTCAAAGGAAAAAATCAACACATGAAAGAGTTACTTGCAATCTCTCTACCTTATGCCCTATACAAAAAATCAACTCATAATGGATTAGGGTTTTTAATATAAAACCTGAACCCACAAAATTACTAAAGGAAAACATAGGAGAAATGCTCCAAGATATTGGCCCATGCAGAGATTTATTGGATAAGACCCCAGATGCACAGGTGATAAAAGCAAAAATGGACAAATGGGGTTTTCCTAGTTTCAATGTTATCTTTAGTTTTGTTGTTTCCAAAAATAGTATTTCTGATAACATAGCTATTTCTTTTTTTATTTCTGTATCTCAATAGTAGAACTACAATGGGGAAATCTGGTGATAAAGGTCAATTGTCAAAAATATGCATTACAATGTGAATAGTGCTCCACACAGTTCATATAGAACTCTTAGGTCCCCTAATGCTCACTGGCATCAATGAAAATAGCCTCACTGTATGCCCTATTCCTCATTCCTATTTTTGGTATAGATTTAATAGAGAATTAAAATATATCTGCACTATTTCTGAAAAATATTTTAGGAATGGCTTACCCCTAAGTGGTTTGGCACTGGGTATCTGGGTAAGCAGTATTGCAGAATAATAGAATAAGGAAGATGAAGGGCTGGGGAGTAAGTAACCTATACTGAATCTGTAGTGCATGTATGGGAGACCTGGACAAAAATACTCTTCTCTCTAAGCACCAGTTTTCACCCATATTAAACTGAGAGGTTAAAATGTGTCTCAGAAGTTATTTGTGAATATAGAATGACATGTTTTAATGTGAGCAAAATATATAGCACAATGGCTGTTAGACGAAACAGAAGTATAATACATGATAACTAATTATAGATCACTAGACCTCAAGATTAGCACGTTTTCCAAAATCAGTGTTACTATGTATATCAATTTTCATTAAGAAAGTTGTTAACCCCTTTTATATTGAAAGGAACCATAGACTTAAGAGGCTTATATTTCACATTTAGACTTGAATTAGTTTATGAGCTGTTTACAGTGGAGGTCAAAATCTTATTTGATTTCTGCATCCCTAGTGCCTAGCAAAAGTGTCTAGTAATAGTAGATGCAATAAATGTTTGATGAATGTGTCCATTAAAAAGGAAAAAGCAAGCAGAGTCAAAAATCACTTTTCTGACCATCAGTTGTGGCAAGTGGGAAAAGAGCAATTTAGATGACTTTAGTTGCTAAAAGAGAAGCAAGGCTGATGGGCTTTACACAGTTGGCCTTGAATTGAGCTGTGATACTCATGAGTTCATTGGGGAACTGAAATAATCATGCTGGGATGGCAAGTTCTCAGAACAATTCTGACCCAAAGTAGCTGTTGCATTTTATGACTTTTACTATTGTTTTCTTTTCTACCTTGATTGTACATTGACATTATTTTTACATAACAATGACAGATACTCTTTTCTTAATGTACATACCGGAAAATATTCATTTTAATTTTAACAATTAGAAGTACACACTTTTCACAAATAAGATATGAAACACTGACACATTGGGAAGATTACCTAAGCACATATACAAAGTTGACTGGACATATAAACATACTAAATATATATTTTTAAATTATTTAAAGTAAGACATTACATTTTCTATCTTAAATAAAGATATTTACAACAGAATCTGAAAGGGTAATAAAATATAAATTCATTCTGGTCAAATTATTGTTTCAGATAAGTGTTTTTACATTAAGAAAGTATTGATTCTTTAAAAATGTGCTTGGTACAACTATATTTAAAAAAACAATAAGATGTTATTTGCCATTCCCATTTTGCTGACATTTGCACTCTAAAAGCAATTACAGTTAAATTACTGGAACCTTATAAAATCAAGGCAGTGACACATCAAATGGTATTAGATTCATATTGTACAAATTTATAGTAGTAAGGAGTGTAGAATATCATTTAGAATTAAATTGATAATCCCGAAATTATTAACTGCGGTGGAATGAAAAGGCCATGCCAAGATGGCTGCTGGCAAGCGAGCGTCAGTTACTCAGGAATGGCTTTGAATTCTACCTGGCAACGGAGCTTGCCTGGCAACAGGCTGTGATTGGATGGCTTTGGAAACTGCCTGGCAACAGGCTGTGATTGGTTGAGGGATAGACCGCCCCTTGACTGGATTGGCTGGTCTTGGCTATATAAACTGTGGTACTAACTGAAATAAACGAGTCTGCAGGCTGCTTGCCTCAAGCCAGCTTTCACCTGACTCCCAGGGTCTGTGTGGTTACTCCGTGCCTCTTGCCCCCACCACACTCCTCCTCTCAGAAAGAATCCACTGCAACATTGTTGAGAAATCAACTGCAACAATTAACTTTACAAATTCTTAGCCCTCTCTTAATTTTTTAAAATTTTTTTAATATATGATGTTGCAAAGTAGAATGACAGATGCATTTCCTCTACACATTGAAATATGATAAATGATTATATTTTTAAATGCATTTATATCTTCAATTTTTCTCATATTTTGATGATGTTAATCTGAAGTTTTCTTTTTTGGTTATTTATATTTCTTAAATTTTCTGTGTATTTTCTTTCTTATTTGAAAGGCAGAGACAGAGAGAAACACATGCACATACACAGAGAGAGGGACCTCCCATCCACTATTTCACTTCCCTGTTGTACACAACATCCAAGGTGGCCCAGTCTGATGTTGGAGACACAGAACTCAGTGCATGTGGGTGGTCAGGTGCAAACTACCTGAGCCCTCACTTGCTGCCTCCCAGAGTGCACAATAGAAGGAAGTCAGAATTGAAAGAACTCGAACTTGATATGGAATGGAGGAATCCCAAACAGTGGCACAACTGCTGGAACCTGCACCTGACCCTGTTCTATTTTTTTTTTTTAAGTTTTGTAGAGCATTAATGCTTTTCATTTATAAGGTAATTTTTCATAGAATTTAGCAATATGGATATATATAGATGATTTTGATAACTCTTGTTACCAATTTAAAATGTGCACATGGAGGGGCAGCATTGTGTTTTAGTGGAGTTAAACTGCCACCTGTGATGTTGGCATCCCATATCAGAGTGCCAGTTCAAGTCTCAAGCCACTTCCCATCCAACTTCCTGCTAAGGTGCCTGTGTCACCACAGAAGAAGCTAAGGGTCCTTGTCTTCGAAAAAGAAATAATGCAGGCATGAGACAGCCGTGGATAGCAAAGTAGCAAAGTTTATTATGGTAAGGACATCCGTAAGAATAGATGGGCACCTCTCCAGACAGAACCTGGAAGAGAGTACCTAGTTCACATTTAGGCTGGTGTTTTTAAGGGGATGGTCTTGCCTTCCTGCCTTTTCTCTCCTCCTCTCCTTCTTCTCCTCCAGAACAAAGGACTTGCTGGATATAAATACAAAAAATTATTTTCTGATTTTCCTTCTGAAGTTGTCAGACAGGGGAAGCCTGACTGGAGTTGGCCGAGTGGTTTCTTTCTAGGATGCACGCCTTAGAGGAAGGATGTTTACCAGGCCAGGTAGAAGGGGCAGGACACCCTGGAAGACTATCAGGGTCAGGGGAGGACTTTGAAGTGCAGATCCTGGACAACTCCTGGAAGGTTATGTAGTGACTTTGAAATGCGGATGCTGGACCTCTGTAGATGTCAAATTCTTTAGGCCATGCTCACACACATAGATTAATTCCTGACTTCCTACCTAACACCTGGAAAGCAGCAGGTGATGTCCCAAATAATTATGTACCTGCCACCCACATGGGAGACCCAGATGGAGTTCTGAAGATATATCTCTCTCTCTCCCTCTCTCTCTCACTCTTCCTGAAACTCTACATTTCAAATAAATAAAAGTGAATAAATGAACATTTAAAGATAAAGTAAAATATGCATATGGGTATTAATGATATAGAAGAAATTCTTTTTAACACAAAAGTCTCTTACCTCGTCTTTTCCCAGCCCAAAGAGAATTCTATAAAAAGAAAATATTTTTCATTTTTAATTTGAATTACTCTTTACTATAACAAAGAAATTAATGGCATTGATCCATCAGTTAAAATAGTTATATATAACATAATATCCTATTATATTTTCAAAATACAATTTAAACAAATTCATTGCCTATTTCATGTATTATTTTCCCTCCAGTATCATTTCTAAAATTAATTTCATGTTTCCTGTCTTGGAGCTTTTTGACATGAAGTCTTGCATTTTTCACAGTTCTTCCAATGTATATGTTTCTATTTTCTCTTCTTTTTTTCTTATGCTTTAGGTACACTGAGTTTCTTAAATCTATGGATTTATAGTTTTCAACAACTAATATAATGTTTTTCAACCATTTTTCTGTCATCCCCTACTCAGGAGGGTATCTTTGTTACCTTTCTTGGAGTTTTTAACCCAACTTACTGATGCATATTTTGTCTTCATTTTTGTTTAGCCCGTGTTTCATTGTGTTTGACAATGTCCATTGCTTCCACGAAGATTTTTTTTCTTCACTTTCGAAACTGTTATTAGCACCTTTTTTTTTTTTTCCTGAGGTTTTTGTAACAAAGTAGCACAAACTGAGTGGTTTAAGTGAAATGTTTTCTGTTGCCTTTCTAGAATCTAGGAATCTAGAACTGAGGAATCAGTGGTGACTTTACTCCCCCGGGTTCCCTGGGGGAAGCCTGCTTTGAATGTGCTGGTTGCTGGTAGCCACTGGCATTCTTTGTCTTGTGGCTGCATCTCTCCGATGTATCTTTACATTGACTTCTCTGTATGTCATATGAATAACATTTTTAATTGTCTTTAGTGGTTACCTTGTAATAGTGGTTGCTTTTCTCTTCTTCAAGATCCTTAGCTAAATTACATACACAAAGACTCATTTTCCAAATAAGGTAACATTCATTAGGTACAGGATTAGGACATGGAGATCTCTTTTTCTGGGGCTACCATTCAGGCAGCTGTCTGCCTATCCTATCTGTTTTCTGTCTCAGATATTGTAATATTCATCACAAGACATGAGATAGGCCTTTTATTATAATTTATAAGCTTCCATTTAATTTATCCCTTTCTTCTTGGAATACCTTAATATACTTTAACAGTCTTACTGCATTTTTCTATAAATTATATAAAATGTGTCATTTATGTTTCTGTTTCATGATTGATTTTCCTTTTAATATCCTGTTTATTATATTTCTGATAATGTGTTAAATATAATTTAAGTATTTGAAAGGCAGAGAGCCAGTTACAACGCACATCTCCAATCTCCTAGTTTATTTTTCAAATGTTTGCAACAGTTAGAGACATGCAAAGTCAAAGCCAGGAGTAGAGAACTAAATCTAGATCTCCCATGTGGATGGCAGGGACCCAAGTACTCATCCTCTGCTTCCTACTAGAATGCACATTTTCTGGAAGCTAGAATCTGAAGCAGAGCCTGGAATTAAACAGAGGCACTCCACTAGGGGATACAAATGTTGAAAGCAGTATTTTAAGAACTATGCCACACACTTGCCCCGTTATTTTGTAACCTTCGAATCCCAAGTTCCTTTAATCTTAACTTTTTGATGGTGGACATATAGGTACTCATACAAATAATCTTTCTGTGTTCTATTTATGCTGTTTAAAGTTAATTTGATAATTTGAAAGACAGTTATAGATGGAGAGACAGAGAAGGAGGGAGAGAAAGAGAGAGAGAATCTTCCATCAGCTGGTTCATCCCCAAATGGCCACAAAGGCTGGGGCTGGACCAGGCTGAAGTCAGGAGTCAGGAACTTTATCTGGGTTTCCCATGTGGGACCAGGTGCACAGCACTTGGGCCATCTTCCACAACTTTCCCGTGCACATTAGGAAGGAGCTGAATTGGAAGTGGAGCAGCTGGGACTTGAACTAGTGCCCATATGGGATCAAGGTGCCACAGATGGAGGCTTAGCTTTCTTTTTTTTATTTTTATTTTTTTGACAGGCAGAGTGGACAGTGAGAGAGAGAGAGACAGAGAGAAAGGTCTTCCTTTTTCTGTTGGTTCACCCTCCAATGGCCTCTGGGGTCAGTGTGTTGCGGCCGACGGCACACTGCACTGATCTGAAGCCTGGAGCCAGGTGCTTCTCCTGGTCTCCCATGTGGGTGCAGCCATCCTCCACTGCACTCTCAGGCCACAGCAGAGACCTGGACTGGAAGAGGGGCAACCAGGACAGAATCCGGTTCTCCTACCGGGACTAAAACCTGGTGTGCTGGCACTGCAGGTGGAGGATTAGCGTATTGAGCCGTGGCACTGGCCTGGAGACTTAGCCTTTCTAAGCCACAACAGTTCCCTTCTAAACCTTAATAATTACTACTTTATGTTCAGATTGAGTTTTTATAGTACTCACAGAGGAAAGAGAACATGGAGGAGAGAGAATTTCACGTAATGTCCTCTGGTTCTGTTAATTTACTTCAAATGACAGAATTTTATTCATTATTATAGCTGAGTAGTATCTATTGTATATATGCCACATATTATTCATGTTTCCATTGATTAATGTTTTGATTTATTGGGCAGTTTGGATATTGTGAAAAGTGCTGTGATATTAATGCGGCTATATCATTGATGCAATTATTTTATGTCTTTTGACTATATGTCAGCATGTCACACTCTAGTCAAAATCCTGGCAATTCATTGCCATTTTGATGGACACTATATTGAATGACAGGCATTTCAGCAATATTAAATCTTCCAATACATGAGTGTGGGATATATTTTCTAATTTTCTGTAATCGTTATGTGTCTGTTTTTAGTGTTTTATCATTTTCGTAATACAGATCTTTCCCTCTGTAGTTAAATTTATCACTATTTTTATTTTCTAAATGTATGAATGGGATTGATTTCTTAATTTCTCTTTCATGAAAATCTCTTATTAGTATATAAAAATGTGACTTTTCTTCATGTTGGTTTTTTATCCTGCAACTTTACTGAATTTATTTATTAGTTCTAATTTCTCTATGGTGGGATATTTCCTTTTTTTATGTGTAAAATCATGTCATCTGAAAGCATCGATACAGTGACTTCCCTTTTTCAAATCTGTATACTTTTTCTTTTCTTTTCTTTTTTCTTTCTTTCTTTTTTTTTTTTTTTTTTGGACATGCAGAGTGGACAGTGAGAGAGAGAGACAGCGAGAAAGGTCTTCCTTTGCCATTGGTTCGCCCTCCAATGGCTGCTGGGGCTAGCGCGCTGCGGCTGGCGCACCGTGCTGATCCAAAGCCAGGAGCCAGGTGCTTCTCCTGGTCTCCCATGTGGGTGCAAGGGCCAAGCACTTGGGCCATCCTCCACTGCACTCCCTGGCCACAGCAGAGAGCTGGACTGGAAGAGGGGCAACCGGGACAGAATCCGGCACCCCGACCAGGACTAGAACCTGGTGTGCCAGCACCGCAGGCGGAGGATTAGCCTAGTGAGCCACGGCACTGGCCGCTGAATTGTTTTTACTAAGAATTCTAGTAACGAATAAGTGTGGTTGAAGTTGACATCATGTGGGGAATATTTTCAGCTTTTTCCCATTCGTTCTATCAACCATGAGTTTGACTATTTTTGAGGTATATTCTTTCTATATCCAATTTATTGAGGATTATTTATCATAAAGGGACATTGCATATCATCAAAAACTTTGTTTTCATTATTCAGGTGACAATGGGCTATTCTGGAATTTGTGCAGAGTGATAGAATGAAGATGGAACCTCCTTCACATACCACAGGGTAGATGCTGGCAACTCTGGGGAATATAGCATCAGCAGCCGCACTCTCCTGGAACCACTGGGTACCTATCCAAGCCCCTTGAAACCTGTGGAGGTTCTGTTGTAGAGTATGTAATGATAGTCATGAGCTTGGAACAATGGAAAGCATACAATTGCTTCTCTCAGTTCTATGGGGGTGAGTTTGGGTGCCCCAATCACTATCTGAGCTGCAGAACGCAGGGGAGAGTATACACATTTTTTTTTTATTTTACAGGGATAAACACAGGTTTTGATGGGAATTACACACTAACAGCTCCTGCTCTACAGCTTCAGGATGCAGGTAGGACCTTACCCCGTTCACATAAGGTGAACAGAGTTTACTCTGGAAATCATACCACTGACAATCTCAGCCCCAGATATGCAGGAGGCAGAATGGATCATTCACAGGCTCCATGGGCCATACAAATGCGAAGCTGTGTCCTGTACCCTGGACATCAAGATTCTTGAGCTATGAGATGTGGAAGAAGGCTTCCTTCGGAAACACTGGGCTTATTTCCTGGATGCTGGTGCACTGAGCCCTGACATACAGAGTGGAATTTCTCCAGATTAAGCACCCAGTATGTATGACTCCAGGGGCTTGTGAATAGTAATTCTTCAACTGTAGAATATACAGGTCCCTGCTCTCTGTACTGTGAGGTGCACTGGATCTAGGGGATCCTGACTAAGAGTGCCTACTGATCCATAAGGCAGAATCGAATCAGGTGGTGACTCTTTTGTAGTAGCACAAGTTCTGAGGTCTGAGTTAGAGGACAATGTGGGTTTCCTTCATGGAGCAAAGCAGTTTCTGGAAACTTTCCATATTTGATTCAAAGACTGTGAGAACTTGGCAATTCTCCTGTAGTTAGGGCTGCCAATCTGCAACAGGGATGGGAGTCAGTGAGCTTTCCTGCTTGAATTTCTTGGGAGCTAAACAAATAGAGGTTGCAGTGTACTTTATTCCTCTCTTTATCTTGGATATCTGATTATTGGATTGGTTTAGGGATCCCTTATTGCTTTACCAAAGTTCTCTTAATCAGCCTCTTTGAAATGCAATTCTTTGGTTCTGACTCTTCTCCATAGTGGAGGCAAATGAGGGACACTTCTTCTAATTGACTTTGTATGCTTCTATGGGTGTTTTCCCCCTGCCCCTTGGCTGTAATTGACTATATTATGGTTCTCTCAGAACGCTTATGTCTATATCCTGGACCCAGTGATTGTTTTTGGAGATTAAGACTTTAAAAGATTTATTAAGGTTAAACGAGGGCCAAAGTATGAGGCTCTGATTGAATATGACTGCTAATGTTCTCATAAGAAGAGGAAGAGGCACCTTGGATCATAATGCCATAATGCACATAGAAAAGGTTAATTAAGGACACATTTGGAAACCAAGAGCCCTAAGGAGAATCTAAATCTGCAAACAACTTGATCTTGAACTTTTAATCATTGGAATCATAAAAAAATGAGTATCTATTGTTTAAACTACCTAATTACGGAATTTGGATATGACAATCTGAGCTGTCAGATACATCAATCTTTACTTCCTTCTCTCTTGCTATCTCCTCTCTGATATATTTGCCCATGAAATCCTTAAAGTTTTTGAACTTCCAGATCTGTCCTTTGAGAATAAGACACAGTAGGGTATAGATTTTAATTCTCCTTAATTTAATCTAGAAATTTAATTAATCTCCAAAACAGACCTAAAAATTTTTCTGAATTAAAGTTCTTTTAAAGTGCATCCTGTAGGCTAGTTATATAATGATTTAAAAATATGTAGGGCAAGGGCCAGTGTGGTGTAGCAGGTAGTGCATCCACCTGCATAGCCAGCATCCAGTATGGGCTCAAAGCAGTCCTGGCTGCTCCATTTCCAATCCAGCTCTCTCAAATGGCCTGATAAAGCAACAAAAGATGGGCCAAGTGCTTGAGTCCATGCCACCAATGTGGGAGATCTGGAAGAATCTCCTGGTTCCTGGCTTTAGCCTGGCCCACCTTTTGCCATTGTGGGCATTTGGGGAATGACCCAACAGATGGAGAATCTCTCTCTGTCTCTCTCTCTCAATCTGTAACTCTGCCTTTCAAATAAATAAAAACAGAGGTCAGTGAATAGTTGAGGATATTATTTATGTTTGCCTCAAGATTGTATGTGGCCTTCTGAGTCACCATGAGATTTCTGTTTTTCAAAGATAACTACATATTTCCATTATGCCTTAGCACATTTTTGTTAATAATAAATTCATTACATTTTTTTTCTTCAGAAAATATGTTTGTTCAGTGTGCCACAAGAATCAAGATTAAGGCAATTTTCATGATATTTATTTTCATTCCTTTGTTTACTATGCTGTTGATTGAATATATTTAATCAGTTTTCTGTCATTACATGCAAATATTTAACTCAGATTTCTCGACCTCTTTCCAATACTACATAACTTTCTATTGGCTAATTCTGTACCTTTTAATAATATGATGTCAATTGTTTAAAATAAATATGAGAGATGTTATTTTTAAAATCTTGAAATTGGTTTTGGACTATCAGTTATTACTTTATTCATCCAATAATCATTATAATCAATACCATTTACTAATATTTATGGCAGGGCAGCATTGTATGTGATGTGTCTTTCAGGTATGGAACTTTTGCCCAGAGACACATTTCTTTGCCTCTTGTATGTTCACAGGATTGATGACTCTCCTTAGCTTCATTTCACTGAGGTTCACTGCTACCCAGGTTGGACAAGGAGATCTGGTAGAATATTGGAAGATGAAAGACTCAAAGAAGTAATTTGTTCTTTCACTCTTCTGTGCACTTAGCAGATGTTTTTCATTGCTTCTAAATTCCTGGGTGCCTAGCAGATTCCCAAGTATGTCTCTGTGTTCCAGCTTTTTGCCTGTGGTCTCACTGCTCTGGAATCTAGCAACATCATATATTCTTTTGTCTCAGCTGTCCCATCACCTGGGAAACCTATTATTTCCATCAAATCTCCATGATTTTAAATACCTAGAGTGTTTTATTTTATCCTGGATAAACCCTCACTAAAACAATTCATATTGAAGAATCCTGATTAGAATATCATTGTTCCACATTACTTCCTTAAGGAAATGGCTAAACTTAAACTGATAAATAAGTGAAATAAAATGATCCACTACATTTCAATAAGTTGAGATTGTTTAGCCTCAAGAGGAATAGGCAAATGGATTATATTAAATGGCTCATTCATGTGAATATTAAGAAGTGAGACAACAGTCAACTAGCATTAACGGAGATAGAAGGAAAGAAACACTCAAAATGTTTCAGAATGAGCACATATCTTCTAGCAAAATAAGTCAATTTAGAAAGAATTATAGCTGAAACCCAGGGTGCCCAATAGCATAGGGCAATTATACTATGTACAGACAGTGATGAAACAGCCCCACCATAAGGAAGTTGGAAACAACTCTGTTGGAAAGGAGCAACACAGCACATAAAGATTTAGTGAAAAGTATCAGTTAATAACTGGAAATAGATAATCATAAAGTGCAAAATATTCACTTTAAAATATAATATTGAATGGAATAAATATTAAACTAATTAAATTAAGAACCAAATTACATGATGGCAAGCTAATAATGTGGACACTGTCTGAGAGTTAGTTTTTTGCCTCTTACTTCATATATTCCTCTAATTTGTTTCTTAAATGGTTATGCAGAGATGGTTTAAACTGAAATGTGATAAGTATTTTGTTTTCATTGAATGCATTGAATACATATTTAAAAACCAATCATGGCTGAGTATTTAATTATGATTTATGTAATGAATGCAAAGAAAAAGTCATTACATTGCATATAATATTTCTTTTCCCACTCCCCTCGTATGTATGGAGAGGCTGTGGTTGTGTTACAGGAGTTCTGAGTCAGTTCTTTGTCTCATGGAGATGAAGAATTACAACATGGACCCTAAATGGGGGTGAGCAAAGCAAATGAAAGTAGATTTGATTGTGCAATAGATACTCCTGCTCACTAAGGAGGGCTCCCTAGGAGAGGGATCTGTCAAGGTCTGGGTGTTGAAAGTTTATACAGGGAATGCCTATCAATTGTTCAGTTCTACATGGTATCAATATGCCAGCAGTCTACTTTGTGTTGTGCTAAATCTCTTGTGTAGTGATTATGGTTCCTGACCAGTTAACAGATGTGGTTGTGTCTACCACTTGGGAGATGTGATAGTTGAGGAATATTATTGACGTGACCAATTAAGGTAGACTGTGTCTACCAGATAAGTTGGTAAGCACTTGAGACATGCTGCTTTGTGGTGTGCTCTGTTATGCTGCCACTGTCTAGTTTCTTATATGGGTACCTATGGGATGGGACCCCTAACTTTCAACCTTTACATTTTCTTGGGACAATGTCTTTTATCTAATCAACTGATGTCAGGTTTCATACAAACACCTGGTTCCTTATTCCCACCAGGGCTAACTCTGCACAGTCAGAATCAGTTTTTTGAAGAATATGGTAAATACATTAAACTATGTTTATAGTAATGCTTTAAGAGTCCCTGAAAGTTATTCTGGTTTAACTACAGTTAATTTCATTAGAACCAGGGCCTCCTCCCTTTTCTCAGCACGTCAGGCTCTCTTCATTTTCAATAACATTGATTGTTTCCTTAAAACAACTAAGTGCACTATGGGCAAGAATTCTGTAATTTTCTTAAAGGAAAGTTCTGTTAACTTTTTTTCTTATCTGTTCTTTAAGAAAAGAGAAAAAATATGGATAGAGACTCTTTTTTATTGATTGAATGTTCTGTCACATGGACACCTGTCCTAAGCATGTCTATTTGGATTGAAGGATAGATTATGACTTTTCTTCCTTATTTTATGAATCATTTTTCCAAAATATACAGTTTTCACAACAAAATATTGAGAAAGTCCTGGTACCTAACATATTACTTTGAGGATCAACATAATATAAATTACAGTAGAGTTACTTTGCAGATGCATTATTTCATAAGGGAATGCTAAGGCTGTAATTCTGACAGCAGGGTGGCACATATACTGTTTTAGGAACTTGTAAGAAAGACTTGAGTGATGTGTGAAACTTCAGACTCACAGATTTTCTCTATTGGTCAAGTGGGCTTTGATGAAAAGGATCTGCCAAAAATTGAGTGGCAAATACAAACTCAATTATACAGGAGAGCCAAAATTGAATCCAGAAAAATAAGAATTAGTTACAGTTCAAATGAGAGGAAGTATCTTTGTAAATTTTAATGGATGTATTATTTACATTAGAAATCAAGCACACAACTAGTCCCAGAAATTAGGTAAATGAAAAATGATAGCAACATGATAAGAATAAAGTATAAATCTGTCTTGAAGTTAAGTCACAATTTCTATTGATCTCAGTATTTAATATATCCCTGACTGGTGTCACATTTACCCTAGTCTTTGTAAGATGCATATATACATACGCATAATAAAAGATGTTTGAATGTGTAATATGGTAAGATGTCAGAGTTAAGGTTTAGCAAATCATTATAACACATTTTAAAAGAATTTGACTTACCTGATCCAATGTTTCCAAATGTGGTTCACAAACCAGAATCAGCTTAGAAATTGTTATGAAATCAAGTACTGCGTGTTAATAGCCCCAAAATAAAGCAGAATTCTAGAAGGGAGTCTTGGCAATCTGCATCACCAACAGTCATGCCATGTCTTTGTGATGTGCATTCTAACTGAAGAACTTTAGACTTAATGAGATGTTACTGATTGGACAGTTGTCTTAGCAGAAGATTGTTTCTAAACAATATCATGGCATACTACTCACAGCTATCTTTGAAATAGAATTTTAAAATACTCTGCTCCAAAGGGATAAATATAAACTATGCTTGGAGATGACCTTCAATTCTGAGATTATGTATTTTTTCTTCTTAAACAGGATTAATCACCTATCCCTGCGTGGGTGTTGGTTTCAGGTATTCCAATTATCTTCCCCTTCCATGTAATTTTTTGTGAGTCATCAAAGCTAACAACCTTCATAAACAAATTTCACTTGTTCTGATAAATTATTTTTATGTACATATAATTTTCTTGCTTTGAACTCAAGCAGCGTTTTATTTATAAAACCATCAATAATACATTCCAGGTGTATCATTATTTGATAAAAACACAAAAAGGTCCTTTTTCAGACTCAAGATGCCTCTCTATGCTTTGAGTTAATCTTTTGATGCCATTACTCAAGATAAATTTCTTGGTCATTTCACTTATTTCAAAGAGTGAATGTGTTCAGTGATTGAGAACCTGGGCATGCTTTTGGCTTTCTGGCATGCTTCAATCCCTTTCAATGTAAAAGTATTTTCTAAAAGAAATTTGAGGCATGTGTTGCAGTACAAGAGAAGCCAAGAATGTAGAAAACAGGGACAAAAAACAGTAGTCATGGTTTTTGAAAGTATATTTTTCCAAAACCAGGTATCTTTCACATATACTGGCAAAAGCAAATGAAAATTGCCACTCTTTTTTTTTTTTTTTTTTTTGACAGGCAGAGTGGACAGTGAGAGATAGACACAGAGAGAAAGGTCTTCCTTTGCCGTTGGTTCACCCTCCAATGGCCGCCGCTGCAGCCGGCGCACCGCGCTGATCCGATGGCAGGAGCCAGGAGCCAGGTGCTTTTCCTGGTCTCCCATGGGGTGCAGGGCCCAAGCACCTGGGCCATCCTCCACTGCACTCCCTGGCCATAGCAGAGAGCTGGCCTGGAAGAGGGGCAACCGGGACAGAATCCGGCGCCCCGACCGGGACTAGAACCCGGTGTGCCGGCGCCGCAAGGTGGAGGATTAGCCTATTGAGCCACGGCGCCGGCCGAAAATTGCCACTCTTTTAAGGGATAAATCACACAGTGGTATTCCAATTGACTTCAGTACAGAAAAAATAAAGTTGAACATAAATATCATTTTCGTACCTCATTGATGGCACATTCTACTCTATTTTCAGACAAGAATAAATAAACCTGATATCGTGGTCCAAGAACTTAAAATAGTTGAAAGGGAAATTTGCTAGAATATATTTCCTGAAAACATTGGAATATAGTTGAAGAAAAAGACACCTCTATGAAAATTGTAAATGCAAACTTTCACAGTAAGAATTAGGAAGTTATATTAACATTTTGCACTGGTTCCACAAGAAGAAAAAGCAAGATATAATTTTAAGATTTGTATGGGACATGTACTCTATAGAATACTATACAGCAGTCAAAAACAATGAAACCTGGTCATTTTCAACAAGATGGAGGAATTCGGAAAACATAATGCTGAGTGAATTAAGCCAGTCCCAAAGGGACAAATATCATATGTTCTCCCTGATCAGCGACAACTAACTGAGCACCAAAGGGGAAACTTGTTGAAATGAAATGGACACTATGAGAAACTGACTTGATCAGCTCTTGTCCTGATGGTTGATGTACAATGTAATACTTCATCCATTTTAGTATTTTTTTTGTTCTAGTACCATTGGTTGAACTCTGTAATTAACACACAATTATTCTTAGGTGTTGAAATTTAACTGAAAAGTAATCCCTGTTAGGAATTTGGAAAACATTATGCTGAGTGAAATAAGCCAATCCCAAAGGGACAAATACCACTTGTTCTCCTTGATAGGTGACAATTAACTGAGCACCAAAAAGGAAACCTGTTAAAGTGAAATGAACACTATGAAAAACAGTGTCTTGATCAGCCCTTGCCCAGACTGTTGATGAGCAACTTGATATGTTATCCCTCTTAGAATTTTTTTTTGTTTGTTCTACTTAATACTTTTGGTTGAATACTGTAATCAATACACAATTCTTCTTAAGTGCTGAAACTTAACTGAAAAGTGATCACTGTTAAATATAAGAGTGGGAATAAGAGAGGGAAGAGATGTGCAATTCGAGACATGCTCAAGCTGACTTACCTCAAACGGTAGAGTTAGAACCATACCAGGGGATTCCAATTGAATCCCATCAAGGTGGCATGTACCAATGCCATCTCACTAGTCCCAGTGATCAATTTCTGTTCACAATTGATCATAATGATAGGACTAAGAACCAAAGGGATCACATAAACAAGAATAGTGTCTGCAAATACTAGCTGATAGAATCAAAAAGGGAGAGAATGATTCAACATGGGAAGTGAGATACACAGCAGACCCATAGAATGGCAGATGTCCTAAACAGCACTCTGGCCTTAGAATCAGCCCTTAAGGCATGCGGATCTGGCTGAAATGCCCATGAGAGTATTTCAGGCATGGAAAGCCAAGACACTCTGGGGGGGAAAAAAAAAAACCTAAATGAAAGATCTCTGCGAGTGAGATCCCAGTGGAAAGAATGGGTCATCAAAGAAGGAGGTACATTTCTCTGAAGGGAGGAGAGAACTTCCACTTTGACCATGGCCTTGTCTAAAAATTTTCAGAGTCAGTGAACTCAGGGGGCTTCCATAGCCTTGGCAGCTCATGACAAGAGCCTAGGGTGATTACTGATGCCATAAACAAGAGTGTCAATTTGTTAAGTCAACAACAGGAGTCACTGTGCACTTACTCCTCATGTAGGATCTCTGTCCTTAGTGTGCTGTACATTGAGATTTAATGCTATAACTAGTACTCAAACAGTATTTTTCCCTTGATGTTTCTGTGTGGGAGCAAACTGTTGAAATCTTTACTTAATGTATGCTAAACTGATCTTCTGTATCTAAAGAGAATCGAAAATGAATCTTGATGTGAATGGAAGGGGAGAGGGAGTGGGAAAGGGGAGTGTTGTGGGTGGGAGGGACGTTATGGGGGGGAAGCCATTGTAATCCAACAGCTGTACTTTGGAAATTTATATTCATTAAATAAAAGTTTAAAAAAAAAGATTTGTAGATATATTTAATTTGTAAATATGTTTAAATTTTAAGTATTGTAAATGTATTCCTATAAGTAGTCCGTACTGATTCAGAGCCAGTTTTGAAAAAAAATAGTTGGTTTTCCCCAGAAATGAGGCAAAGCAGCAAAATTATTCATTTTTTTTGTTTGTTTTGGCTTTGAATTAGACTTTTTTGTTTTCATTATTTGAGAGTTCCCTTCTTCCTTGATGTGCAGAGTATATTGTTTGGTACCTTGGATTTAACAGTACTTTTGTCAGTTACTGAAAGAATCCAATTTCATTTTGAATCTGTGGAACATTACACATTTAAATATTTTCCTTTCCGACTGGATTTTAAAAAG